AGAGACACCAGGCAAAGAGAGGTGGACACATGCATGTGCCGGCAAGCACTCTTAGAGGTGAATACTTGCTCACAAAATTCCTTTCCTTGCTCTTGTACGCTCAGGTTCTTCCTTTCCTTTCTTCTTCCTTTCCTTTCTTCCCATGTGGATTTTCAATGAGCCAAAGTCTCATTTTCTTTCTTTCCCCAATTCTGCTCCTCGCAACACTCCCTTTCCCCGATGTCTAATTATTGTCTCCATCCTTTCTTTTCTTGTTTCAGGATTCTCAGGGCTGCAGCAGGGCCACCACAGGTGCCCCCACAGGGCAGAGCAGCCAGGCGGGGGGGCTGGGCAAGGCAGCTGCAGACGCTCCAAAACCTCTGCCAGATAAGCCCTTCAACACCATACAGGTGTGTTGCTCCAGATTAATTCTAGAGTGATTGACCAGTTCAGGAAGGCCAGGGGGGAATGCTTATGTGTCCAAATGGGGACGATGAATATCAGGATACCTGAGCTAGCCATAGGGAGATGGTTGGTTAAGACAGAGGGTGCACAGGAGACTCCTTATCATAGAATCATAGACCCATAGAATCATTTAGATTGGAAAAGACCTTTAAGATCATCAAGTCCAACCGTTAACCTAACCCTGCTATCCCACCACTAAACTATGTCCCTAAGCACCTTGTCTGCCCGGCTTTTAAATACCTCCAGGGATGGGCACTCAACCACTTCCCTGGGCAGCCCATTCCAGTGCTTAACAACCCTTTCAGTGAAAAAATTTTTCTTAATGTCCAATCTATCCTTCTGGAGCAGCACCTGGGGGCCAGGCATGATACTCAAGGGAGCCTAACGGCACCTCTGCTTAGACACCTTGGAAGGAGTTGTAGGTTAACCACCTCACGAGGGAAAGAAGTCCTCAGCACAGTGACAATTATGCTCTGCAGTCAAGAATTACACTTCAGAAAAATCATTTTAGGCTAAAAAATCAGAAAGGAAACAGGCAAGGAAACTAATAACCCCGCTTTCATAAAGCATTTATTTTTTTTTTTATTTGAAAACATTATACAGGCATTACATTGCCACAGCCAGTCCATATAGGAGCATGCAAATATCAAAATGGAGAAAGGTTTGTTCAGCTTGTCAATGCAGGATTTGGGGTTGGGATTTTGTTTGCTTGGTTTTGGTTTTGGTTCATATTTCCATCTGCGTTGTCAAGATTAGTGTGCTTTATTATGGCATTTAACAATAAAATCCTACCCATGGGGTAAAATTTATATTTGTAGCTAGCGCAGGAATACTAAATGGTTTTAAAAAAAAGGAAAGAAAACGATACTACACGCTTGTCAAAATGTTAATAGCACAAGTTAGCAATCTCTACACTATACATTGAAACTTCTTCTTATGACACAGTGGTGCAAAATTTTCAATTGCTTGGTCTATCGTGTGTTTTGAAAGTTTATAGCTGGAACAAAGACAAGGTCTGTCTCCCAGTGAAGGTTTTCATCCAGTAGCAGAAAATTACATCAGTCTTGTTAAGGGCTGCTCGGGGCCAGCAGTATAACAGAGTCTCAGTTTGTTCAGGCAAGGAGCTATACAGAGCTATAGGTGTCCTACGCAACACGGAGAGTAGCTGCCAGTTAGATAGCTGAACCTTTGCTGGTGCATACTGAGGTCTCGAACTGCAGAAAACAAGCAGGTAGAAGTAATGTTTTTCCCTTCCTTGACCTCAGTTTTTCAGTCGACACGGTTACTTGTAAAGCTATACTACTGTTTTCCTTTGAGGTCCATCCAGTGCTGGCACACTGGTGCTTGTCCACGTATCCACCTGGTTTAACGGGAGACACAGACAGTGAAGCAGCTCCACTTTGCACATCAAACTCCTCCTGTGTGAGTAACACAGGGGATGGTGGCTGGGTGCGGAGGGCACGCCAAAACGTTC